TCAGATAGATAACCGGGGCTATGAGATACCTGGAAATGTCCCAGTGAGAAGGAGCAGTGGCACTGATGCCCAGATTGAGGAGACCTCTTCTCCTTCCTGCCAGCCCGAGTAGAATGTGTGTACAGGGCTATGATAGAGAGCTGCCCCCACCTGGCCATCAGCCATTCTCCAGACTCCTGCTTGAGGCACCCTGTCATTGCTTCTCCGGGTTGATTTTGCTGGTTTGGGGCCATTTCTGGGAAGACCAGCCTGTCAATCCTTGCCTGGTAATGAGGGGTAGCCAGAAAGGAGACTGCAGTTCCGAGGGGCTCTCCCTCCTTGTTTGGAAGCTTTCGGTCCTTTCCCCACCCCTCTCTATGCACCCCTGTTACTTCCTTGAACAGAAGAGGAGCTCTTCTTTCCTTTCTGGCTGCCTTTCCCCCTGCCCTCTGGGTGAGCTGTGCCTCCTTCACCATCCTTGGGGATGCCGCCCTTAGGGACCTGGCCAGGCCTGGGCTCTTTCCTTTGTCCTGGACCCCTGGAACTGGGAGATTCTCCACTGTTGGTTTTGTAGTTTTATCTTAAAATTTAGCTCCCTTGTTTTGTGGATGGTAGACCAGAGCTCAGTGACTTGACTTGTCTACAACTACATGGCCAGTCAGTGACAGAGGCAGCACCAGCTGGTCCTCAGACCCTCCATCCCTGAGTCTTTCCAGGGCCTGGTATGGCCTCCGTTCCGTGGCTTGTGCGAAGACCCTAGGTTCAAGCTGAAGCTGCCTCACACTTCAAGCCAGAGGATCATGGGCTTCCCTTTCCCCCTTTTGCCCTCTGCTCTGAGGGGTTCTTTGCCTTCCTTAACAAGTGGGGGGTGTATGATTTGCCACCCTTGCTCTGCTGGAAGGCAAAGGGACACCAGACCTCTGCCCACCAGCTGCTGGTACATGGAGCTAAGCCACGAAGAGGGTGAGGCTGAGGTCTTTGTGCTCCACCACCTTGGGCACCCCATCAAAGGGGTGACTGAACCTGGAGGACCACACAGGAATGTGCACACATATGCCCGCGCACGCGCGCGCACACACACACACACACGTGCACACATGCACATGTGCGTATGGGATACACTAGCTGGATTCCATGTAGCCCTCATGTTCTGGCCTGGGCAGAAGGCATAGCGCCCCTGAGGCCTGGATGCTGGGATTCTGAGCCTTGCTGCCTGCTGACCTCAGTTCATTCTCATTGTCCTACTGCTCCAGGCACAGCAATTCCTCTGGCCCCCCTTTTCACCTCATTTACAGGCAGGTTGTAGGCACAGAGGAAACACTGTAACGGGAGCCGGAGAGTAAGTTCTGGGCCCTGGGTGATTACTAGCCTCCCTCACCTCCTAGCTGTGTAATCTTGGGCGAGGGACTCAGCCTCCCTGGGCTCAGTCTCTTTTTGTAAAATAAGGAGGGCTGGATATCTCAGGTACTTTTGGAGATTCTTTCCAGAACTCAAGATAGAGGAGTTTCTCAACAGTTCCTTCACCATCACTGCTGTAAGGACCTGCCTGGGGAGCAGGACTACCCAGCTACTCCACCCATCTGCTGGACCTGGACCAGACACACCCTGCCAGGGAGGAGCACCCAGCTTTGCTCACACTGTTCCCAGCACATGCTGGTTTCCAGAGGGCTCAGGAGTATTGACAGGATCCCAGCTCCCCCTGCCCAGATGGCCCCCTTCACTTACTTCTCATGACTGAGCCTGGGCTTTGCTGGCCTTGGCTCCCAGTCCTTCTCTGCAGGGGTGGTGCGGGAGTGGGGCACAGATGGTGCAGGTGGGATGAGGCCCTCTCAGCAGTGCCTCAGCCTGAAGCTCTGCACCTAGCACTCCCCCAGTGCTTTTGGGCAGGGGTGTTTAAGCTCTGCACCACACAGGTGGCCAAGTGACAACCCCCCCACCCCCCAGGGGGGCAGTGGGTAGGATGACAGGCGCCCCATGTGGCCAATCTGGGCCTGGGGCAGGGTGTGAGGGGCGGGGCAGCCAATAGTAGGGGGTGTTGGAAAATTCCAAAACCACATGCGACAGCCACATGTGGTAAAAGCTGTTTCCACCCACCAGGGTATTCTGGCTGGGGAGCTGAGTGGAGATCACACTAGCCTGGGGTTAGGTTTCCACTCCTCCTTGCCTGAGGACCCTCCGAACCTGACACTCTTTGCAGGTGACTCCAGGGACAGGGATGTTTTCTGAGGTAAGTCCAGGATGTCTGCCCAGGATGGTGGCCTGTACCGCCTGAGACCCTGTGGTTGCCAACAGCCCTGCCCAGCATGGGGCAATCTGGAAGGCTGTCCTGCTCTCCCACCACCCACCATGCCGGAGCTCCTCCCTGAAGATTCCAGGTGCACTCTGGGCTGGGGCATAAATGAAAATGACAATGGCAGTAATAGCCTTCAGGCAAATACCCACAGTGTGCAGGAGGGCTCAGTCCCTCAGAAATTTCCTTAGCAGCAAGTTGCTAGAATTGGGATGCAGATAAGGATAACAATAATGATACAAGTGACAGTAATGCCAGTCGTCGGCATCGCCCCACGTACAGCCTTTGTGTCAGAAGTGGCTCTGAATGTTTTATATGGATTATCTAATCCTCACAAATCCTTTATGAGGTAGTACTGTTATCCCCATTTCGAAGATGAGAAAAGTAAGCAATGGACAGGCTAAGTGACCTGCCTGAGATCACACAGCCAGTAAGTGGCGAGTCAGAATTCAAACCCAGGCAGACGGGCCCCAGATCTTCCTGGAGGGACAGGCAGGTTTCTCTGGCTCTAGTCTGCTTTTGAGGGTCTCACCTGAGACACCTCCTGGCATGTGAGTATTTATTTTCTTGGCCTGTGGGCCCTTCAAAAGAGCCAAACAATCCCAGAAGCTTTTGCAGCCTCCTGTCTGCTCTGTGGAGTACCTTGACCTTGGAAATTCCTCTTTAGGGCCCCTCAGGAGTCAGGGCTCCTCTTGGTCTGGGTTCCCCCTGCTCCTCATCTTAGACCCCACTTCTTAGAGTTGTCTCAATTTGGGGGCCAATTTTTAGAGTCTCTTGGCTTGGGGAGGACTTACTGTCTCCTGGATTCTGAAGAGGACCCCAGCAGCTCCTCAGCCAGGTACAGGCCTCTCCCTGCTGGCCCTCCTGGGACCCCAGGAGCTAGGCTGTAGGTAGGGGAGGAGCTGCCACTTGGATCCTTACCTCACTCATGGGGCAGGGTAGAGATGGTGGCAGAGGGCCAGGGGTTTGGGAGGGGATAAGGTGGCATGGTCCTGGCTGAAGTCTCTGTGGTAAGGGGTTAAGCATAGGGATGAGGTTTGGCCTCTTCTAATTCCCACTGCTCCAAAAAATCCCCTTACTCCCCCCACCCACATATGGTCCCTGACCCCCTCCCCCAGCTCACCTGCGTCACTCCTGACCTGCTTTCCTCCCAGGCCCCTGCTCAGCATTTCCGTGGGGCCCTGTGGCTAGGGGCAGCGGAGGCACCAATCAGGACTGTGCTGAGCAAAGCAACCTCCCACCAGGAGGATGTCGCATCCTAGATGGCCCCCTGCTCCTGGCTGCCCAGCTCAGGGAGGAGGGTGATGCTCTGCTCTCTAAGCTGACTTTGCTCTAAACAGACTGTCATGATTTTGGCAGTGGGAAGGATAGCAGTGAGCTCTTAGAAGGAACCGGTACACAGCAAGGAAGGCCCAGAGAGGTCCCCATCAGTTCAGGGACCTATGCTTACAGAAGCCTTCAGGTGTTGAGGGTGAGCACGGCTCTGATGGGCACACGCTTTGGAAGTGAGGTGGAGTTGGAGCATTTTCTGGGAGAGTAGACTCTCCTACAAACTAGGAGAGTCAATCTGATGTGCTGAGAGGTCCCCAGAAAGGATGCTTACTCGCTACTGTTCATTGAAAGTCCTTACTGATGCTGGGTGCATGGTTCACGACTGTAATCCGAGCATTTTGGGAGGCCAAGGTGGGTGAATTGCCTGAGCTCATGGGTTTGAGACCAGCCTGAGCAAGAGTGGGACCCCATTTCTGAAAAATAGCCAAGTGTTGTGGCAGGTGCCTGTAGTCCCAGCTACTTGGGAGGCTGAGGCAAGAGAATCACTTAAGCCCAAGAGTTTGAGGTTGCTGTGAGCTGTTGCCACAGCACTCTACCGAGGGTGGCATAGTGAGACTCTGTCTCAAAAAAAAAAAAAAAAAATTAAGTCCTTATTAAGGCCAGGTGCAATGGCTCATGCCTGTAATCCTAGCTTTCTAGGAGGTAGGTTGATTATTTGGGCTCATGAGTTCAAGGCTAGCCTGGGCCAAAGCAAGACTCCATCTCTACTAAAAATAGAAAAAGCTAGCTGGGCATAGTGGCTCAAGCCTGTAGTCCCAGCTATTTGGGAGGCTGAGGCAAGAGGATCACTTGAGCCCCAGGGTGACAGAATGAGACTGTCCCCACCACCAAACCAAAAGAAAGTGGTTATTGAGCTGAGCTGGGGCAACCTTTTTACCTGCTGTATTCTAAGTCTTTTAGGCCCCAGAGCACGGTCTCTTTGTCCCTTCTGCTCCCTATAGAGATGAAGTCTTCCCTGTCCTTGAGCCCTGCAGTCTGGCTCCAGGCTGATTCACACCTCAAGATGTGTTAACCACACCAAACCCGGCTTGTACCACAACACCTGGTGCAGACTCCCTGGCTGTTCCTGCCTCCCCACCTCCTCCTCCCTCCTCTCTGGCCCAGTAGCCCATCCCCTCCCCTCCCATGTCCAGCATCTCTCTTCTCTCGTCCATGGCCCCCTTTCCTCTATCCTCTCCTTGTTTCTTTACAGAGCCTTTTCACTCTTCAGGCTTCCTCCTCAGCTCGTCCGCTTGCCCTAATGTTTCCTCACACCTCCCTTTCCTTTCTGTTTTTTCCAGGCCAACCTATCTCAGGCTCTGCCATCTCTCTCCAGTCTCTGACCCTCCCAGATCCCTTGCTGGGTTCTTCTCCACGTCACCGTGCCTCAGTACCAGCTCCTGCCCCCAGTCCTACTCACAGGTGTGGGTCTTCTTTGTAGCCAGCAGCTCTGTAAAGAGAAGGGAGGATCAGCACCCCAAATCCAAGCCCCCCAAGTGGCTGAGACACACCCCTACTCCCAAGATCCCATTCCACTGCCTTCCTTGTCAGGTGGGCTACCCTCCCTGATGTCCCCTCCCCTTCCTACTCTGCCCATCTGCCAGTGGTCTTCCTATAGGTCCTCAGAAGCGCCAGGTCCCTCACTGCCTCTGGAAGTTCCCCTAGCTACCCCTTCTCCTTGGGATGTCCTCCCCGCCCCCACACCCCTTAATCTAGCCAACTTCTCTCTATTTCTCAGGTCTCAGGCTATGTCTCTCCTTGGGAGAAGCCATACATGCCCCTTCCCCTGCCTCACACACAATGCAGCATCCCGCATCTGATTTCCTGGCACAGGCCCCATCACCTAACGGGCACAATTGTGTCATTATCTAAGAGCTGGGTCTTTCCTGCCACACTGTAAACCACATGAAGGCAGGGACACCTCTTGTCCACCTTGTTGTCCCCAGAGCCCATTAGAGGTACACAATAAATATTCTGCAGCCAGAGCCAAACCTGCAGGGAGTGAGACCTCCTGCTGCTCATCTGCTCCTGAAAACACTGGGGAGCTGGGTGGAGGGGTCAGGGGAGAGGAGAGAACTGTGAATACAGACTCCTCTCTGGCATCCCTTCCCAGCTGCCCGTGTATCTGGGTTTGTGTGGAGACCAGGCAGTAGGGAGCATGGGGTGGGGGTGGGGGGTCCGGAGGGGGGTGATGGAGTGTGTGACAGGGTGCAAGGACTCAGGGCAGCTCTTCTGGACGGCCTCAGCTGGAGCATGGCTGGGGCACTGCGGGCCACACAGTTACCATTCACCAAACATCTAGCAAGGGAGCTGCTGGAGAGATTTCCTCTGCCAGTCCTTGGTCCATTTTCTACACCCAAAGCACAGGACCAGTCTTGTGTCACAGAAAGCCCTCAGTCCTGCCTCATGCCCACTACACCTTTCTTCACCTCTGACTCTGTTCTTGGGTTATTTGTTTCCTTTTGCTCTCCAATCCTGACACCCACCCTGCTTCCCAGAAAACACTGCCCCTCTGCCTTGAGATGCTCCCCGCCAGCAGGCTTCTGTCTGGGCCGGTGGGGGAGAGTGGGCCTATGGCCTGGGCGCTGTGGGGTGGGACAGGGGAGACTGCACAGCCCTGCCCAGCCCCACCCAGCTTCCTCTCTGACGTGGCACCGCTCACCATGCTCCCCTCGCTTGCCCAGACAGCTGAGTTCTCCCTCCGCCAGGTGGCCCTGGAGCTGACAGCTCTGGCACTCAAACTTTTGCCCTCCATGCTCAAAGCTGAACAAGCATGTGGTGGTGGTCCCTGCTCTGAGGGGCTTCCTGCTTAAATGATGTGTGGGGCCCAGACTACTTTATTTCTGTCCCTCCTTGCTGCTGACCCCCGCACCCCTGGGGCCAGGCTGGGAGTCATTGGCAGCTGTCAGGGTATGGCTGCCACCCCTCCAACCGGGTCTGTCCCTCCTTACAGGGCAGCTTTCTACCAGTTTTCTCTCCTCGGTGGATGAGACTGAGCTGCCAGCCTCCTGCCACTGTTGCCTGGGGGCCTTGCCAGCTGAGATCAGGAAAGCAGTGTCGCTACCAACTCCCAGGGTCACTGCCCACACCTGATCCCTCACTGGGACTGGACCTATCTTCCCTGACTCTGCTCTTTCCTCTTCCTCCCCCACCGCAACCTGTCTCTCCTCCCTGACTTCTTCCTTTCTGACCCCTCAGTCCCTTCCCTGTCTCTCCCCTCTTCCCGTTGCTCCTTCTCCGGCCTCCTTCCAGCCCCTCCTCCTGCTTCAGTTTCTATCCAGGCTTGCTCTGCCTCACCCTTCTGCCCTCCTCTGCCAACCCACTGCTCTGTCCTTCTCTGTACTTTCCTCCCTCCCTCTCTTCCTCACTTCTGCCTAGTCTCTTCCCATTTCTCCCTCCTCCAGACCTCCTGGCAGTCTCTTCCACCTGCTGCAGGGCAGTGAGCTGTCTTACCCCGCGAGGCTCGGTGATGTCTCTGTGGGGCCCTGTCCATGGGGCAGCTCCCTCAGTGCAGTCCTTGCTGCCCTGGCTGCCCAGGAGGGCAGGGAGCAGGGCCCAGGGGAGGGAGGAAGGCGGGGAGGGAGCACCTGGCCCGTCAGTAGGCAGGGGAAAGGAGTGGCTGGCAGAGCGTCCTGGCACCAGGAGGGGACATAAGGAGGGGCCAGCAGACCAGGTTATGGAGCCTAGAGGAGAAACAGGGTAGGAGAAAAGACGGAACTAGCATCTGCATTGCCGGATCACCTACTGTGTGCTGGGCCCCTTGCCAGGCACTTTATGTGAATCCATGATTTCACTTGTGTAATTCCTCACAATAGCCACCGTAGGGAAACATGATCACCCTGGATTTACCAAGAGTCAAGTGATGCTCAGAGATATCAATGGCTTGCCTACATGACTGAGCTATGATTTGAACCCAGAACAGATTCTGTGACCTCAGAATCCTATGGCTTATCTCTGACCATGGCAGATGACAGGAACAGGAGAGATGGGGAGAGGAGAAAAGGGGAGGGGAGGGCATGTTTGGGGGATGCTGCCTCTTCTGCAGATTGGGTCATGCTTCAGTTCCCGAGGCCCCCTGATGCCCCTATGTGCTCCTAGTCCACTGCGGACAAGGAGCAGGCCAGGAGGAGTGTGCTGAGGCAGGGGCCAATGGGAGGGGAGAAGAGGGAGAGATGTCACCCTGGACCGGTTGGGAGAAGGAGAGGCCACCAGACTGAGGCCCACACTGAGGCTTGCACAAAGGGCCCTAAGGGGTCCTGCCCTGCCTTCCTCCCCTCCCCGGGTCCAAGAACGAGGGGTTCTGTGGACTCTGGATGCCGCGTTTCCCTTGCACAGCCTGGACCCAGAGTTTGATTAGCTGGGCCTGGCTCTCCTGGTTACCCAACAAGCAGCTGGCTGGGGGCCAGGCTGCAGTGGAGGCTCCTGGGCACCACCTCCTGCTCTCCTTCCCAGCTGGTAAACAGCAGAGCAGGAGCCAGCCACGCCACAGCCTCGTGACTCGCCCACTCCCCCCACCTGATGCACGTGGCACCTGGTGTGGAGAGGGCAGGCAGCTGTCCCTTCCCTCTTCTGTCCTCCTGCGCTGCCATCCTCTCTCCTGCCCCACCCTGGAGTTTCATACTTTGCTAGCATCAGCACCTCTGTTCCTGGGTAGCTCCCAGAGCCTCCCAATGGTTGCAGCCTGAGGGACAAAGGTCAGAAGTGGAGAAGGCTTTTCTGACTCCTAAGACGGTTGACAAGGGATGGGAAGTGAGGAAGAAGAAGGGGAGCTTTTGGAGACCTTCTGTACTGAGAGTCTAGGGGCATATGTCTTGCCTCTGAGGCTTGGATTGTCCCCATGGGTTTCTGGTAAATGTGGCCCAGGCTTTTGCATGTGCTTCCCTGCACAGATGGGGATGCTAGTCTGTTTGGGGGCCCTGCCCCTTGGGCACCCCATCAAGCACCATCTGGGAGCCAGCAGAGACTGGATGTGGGGTGTGGGAGGGTTCAGAGCAGTGGGGGTAGTGTGGCTCTGTCTCTCCTTCCCTAGACCTTCACCTTATCCTCTCTCTCTCTCTCTGCTGGTCCCTGCTGGCTGTGGCTCTCTGGCTCTCCCCTCCCTGTCTTTCCTCTTAAGGCTTCTCTTCCTGAGTGGCTCTGGGATCCCAGGGCCCTTCCTAACTGTGCTGCTCCCTTGCAGGCGCAGAACAGAAGTCACACAAAATGCTTACAGATGGGCCCTTGGCATCCCCGGATGTCCCAGGTGTGTCTGTCTGTCCAGCTGTGCCACTTCATGCTGCTGTGTGGGATGGGGAGCAAGTGATTAGAGGTTGAGGGCACAGGGTGCTGCCTGTAGGCCTAAGAGTCACAGGCTTCCTAAGCATTTCAGGTCTTACCTCTTTCCTGCCCTAAGCACTGGATGGCTTGGGTTCTTTCTCCCCAGGGCAGGAAGTTCCCTTGGTTATCCTTTTGGGAAATGTCCCTTCTCCTCTGAACTTCCTCCCTCTTGCTGCAGTCAGAGGTCCTTTCTCAGAGGAATGGTCCTTTCAAAGCCAGGCAGTGGTTATTTCCTCTTCAAATACATTTTTACATTCATATGCAAGGACAGGCTGATAGGGATCAGAGAATCATTTCACACACACCCCCCCCACGTGCCCAGTCCCCTTATCAGTCCTGGCTATCTCAATGCAGGGGGCAAACAGCCTGGAGGATGTGGAGGGTGGTGGTGGTGGCTTGGAACTGGGGAGCAGTCACCAACTTCTCTTTCCCTTCCTCCCCACCCCCAAACCACAGAAACCACTTAAAGCTCAACACAGCCTGCCTTCCAGGGAGGGCCTGGGGGCTAAAGGCAGAAATGTGTGTGACCCTAAAAGCTTGCAATGCCACACTCTGCCCCAGCCAAATCCTTAGAGGGTCCTCTCCTGTGGGAAGCCTGATTCAGTGCTAGGGGACCACCTTCCTTTGAGTCCTAGGGGGCACCAAGTTTGGGGAAACTTCAATCCAGTGGAATAACTCAAGGAGGCGCTGTGCCTCAACCGTTTAAAAAAAAAAAAGGGTAGCTCAGACTCTATAAACATCTGTAGCCTCTAGAACTCACAGCCTCCACCCCTCCCCTTCCTGTCACAAAGGCCACTGTGGGTGGAGGGAACAGTGGGAGTTTGACCCTTGCTCCTGGCCTTGAACTCTCTTTGGTGATCCAGCCTATCCCTCTCATCTGTCAATTAACATTCATAGTCACACAGGCTTGGAGGCAGCAGGAAGGGTTGAAAAAGAGGCAGGAGTTCTGATTTTGGAGCAGAAATACATGAAAGAATGTAAAGGCAAATCTCAGGCCCCAGTTACCACATCAATAAAAAAGGGGCAGGGTAACTGATCTGACTAGTGCCCTACAAATGCTTTGGGGCCAGAGGAGTCTGCACACGGGAGGGATTCTTAGGACCTTATGTGTGCCCCTCTCCCCCCTTTCCTGGCTTTAGCTGGCCAGGATGTTCCCTTGGGGGCTTTGCTGAATGAGGGGCTCCTGAGGGCAGTGGCCTTGACTTTCTACTTTACAGCCTCCCTGAGCAGGTGGAGTGGGGTGGGGGTGTCTAGGGGGAGCCAGAGTCAGAACCCTTCCCTACTGCCAGGGCTGAAGCCCAGGCAAACATACTTAACCTCTCTGATCTAGTTCCGTCTTGGTAAAATGGGAATGCTAACCCCTGCCTTGCTGAGTGGCTGTGATGACTAACTGAGAGGCACACAGGTACTGCACAGGGACCCAGTCCAAAGTACTGAGCTGAGAAAACATGTTTTGTTTCCTCCCTTCTTTTCATTCTTATAATCTCCTCTCCTCTTTAGTTGAACTCCCTTCCCCATCCGCTTTCCTGCTTTCTTTTTCTCTACAACATTTTACTTGTTCATTTTGTAACTTGTCTGATCCTCATGTCTGTCTCCATCACTGCTATAACCAATCCCTGGTGTCTTCCTCAGTATTAGCTGAAGGAGTGTATGAATGGAGGTTATATGTATGACCTGTAAGTTTCTTCCTAGATACTTTCAAAAGGGTGTCAAATCCAGTTGCTCACCAATGGTTGTTTTGGGAGGATTTGAAGGCTAAAATTAAAGTATGGTACGAGGGCGGGACAGAACTAAACCTATGGTGGGTTTCCCAGAATTTGCACATGTGAATCCAAACTGGCAGGGTGTGAAACAATTAGGGAGCTGTCATCTTAGGGAAGGGGACACTTTCAGAGTGACTTGCCTGGGAGGTAGCAGCTGGCAGCTGGATATATTACAGCCAAGTGATTAAGAGCCCCGACTCGGGAAATAGACTCTTTGAATTCTAGTTTTATCCCTTACTGCTAAATGAGGCTCAAGGTCACATTGGATAACAATAGTATTTACACCCTGGTTGCTGGGAGGAATAAATGGCTTGACAAATTGTTGGAAGGGTTCCTTCCAACAGCCAGAAGTTCCACTGTGAGGACTTGATTGCTTGGTCAATGCTACCACCTAGTGGACACTTGGAGCAAGGTTTCCCTGGTTTTAGGCAAGATGGTGGGGACTTAACAGGGCAGAGAGAGGAGCTATAGAACCATCTGAATGGAGAGTGGTGTATGTGTGGGGGGTGGGTTTTGTTGGGATCCAAGAGGCTTAGCCCTGCTGTGGGCCACAGCTCACTGTGGGAAATGGGAAAGGGCCCAAGGGAGAGGGAGAAGAAAGGTGGATTGGCCCCGCCCACCCACTTCTTCCTCCAAGCCTGGCCTGAGCCAAGAGGAACCAGCTCCCAAGAAGGGAGAGAGAGAGAGAGAGAGAGAGGTCATTGCTGACGTCAGGGATCTCAGGTAAACACAAGTTGACCTACATATTTATCCTCCTCCACCCCTCCTGCTCCTGGCTGGGGTAACCCCTCCTTACTTGGGGGGCAGCAGTGCACCCCCCCCAGTAACACATCCCTGCAGAGTCCTACTCCTGTTTGGCATCCCTGAGAACAGTTCTAACACAGCAGCAGCACCCCCCTCCCCCAAGATCTCAATCCCTTCCACATTACTCCTCATTCTCTTGGTACCCAAGTACTCCCCCAGTTCTTGGCTCCAGCCTTGGCCGCCAGGGAGGCACAGATGTGGGAAAGACAAGAGGGAGGCAGGAAGACTGAAGGGCACTGTGTGTTAGTCTGTCATCCCTGACTCATTCCTGAGACCCAGAAATTTCATCTCCTTTCGGGACAGATGTAGGTGTTGGGGGCGTGGAAGGGGAGTGCCAATTTCCTCTGTGCAGCCCCAAGGGACCCTCAGGAAGGTGGCTTGTGTTTCCATCAGAGTGATTCAGTGATTGAAGGGCTCCCTGAAGGTTTAGGACCTTGTGGACAGGGGCCCTAGGACCTGTCAGCACAGATGCACTGAAGTAGCGTCTGGGGAGGATGGCGCTCAGGCTTCTGTATGTTTAACAAGCTCTTCCAGGATCTCTGAGGTTTGTTTATCCTCTGCTCCTTCAAGTGTGAGGACTATTGCCTGTGGTCTGCTCTGATTCCAACAATCTGAGTGAACACCGCGTGTATACTTGGACAGAGGGAGGAAGTAAGCCGCACACCTGAAGAGTGTGAAGTGCCAACAAGGGGAGATGGCCAGCTAGGGACAAACGGACATTTTATTAGCAAAAACGCGCTGGGCAGACGGAAAGAATGAGGACTGCAGACCTGGTGGAGAACCCCAGAGGAAGCCTCACTCTACAGGCTGAAGTGGGAGGATGCCAGGGAGGACTCCGGGCCCAGGCCCCCACCCAGCGGAGGCAGCAGCGCAGTGAGGGGCGTCTCGCACTCCCCCAGTAGCGCGTCCCTGCGGAGTCCCGCGCCCCTGTCCAGCACCTTGGCTCTGAGACTGTGGGCGGCCAGGTCTGGCAAGCAGAGCCCCTCGAAGAAGAAATCCTCGTTGAAGATGGGGCTGCTGCTGCATTTGACCACGCGGCTCCGCTGGGCCCGCTGCCAGACGCGGGGCCGCAGCCGCAGCACCACGCAGCAGCCACCGCCGCCGCTCCCCGGGCAGGCCCGCGGCCGGGGCAGGCCCTCGGCGCTCACCAGGCGCAGCCGCAGCCGCCGAGGCCCGGCCTGGTACTCAGCGGAGAGCCGCAGCTGCCCGCCGCGGGGCCCGAGGCGCAGCACGCTTTCCCGCGTGGGCCGCAGCGGGCGGCACAGAAAGTCCAGGTGGAAGAGCGGGGGTGTGGGCGGCCCCTCGCGGCGCGGCGCGCACGGGCTGGTGTCGGCCGAGCTCGCTTCCTCCGGGGACAGCGAGTGCGGCCTGGGCGGCCGGCGCCGGCTGGGACCGGGCCGCGGGGAGCCGAAAGGCGATGAGTCGGGCGACGAGGCCGTGTCACTGTCCGGGGCCCGGCAGAGGCGCAGGTCCGGCGCGGAGGCGTACGGCCAGGACTGCGCCGGGGGCAGCCCACGGGCCAGGCCAGGCAGCGGCAAGTGGAACAGGGACTCGCGCCGGCGCGTGTGCGGGCTCTCGGGCAGGAAGGCGCAGCCCTCGCGGCCCGCCAGGTGCGGCAGCGAGCAGGCCGAGGAGAGGGCTTGCGCGGTCGCGTCCCTCCGGGCTGCGGGCTGGGCGGGGCCGGGGTCCCGGAGCCGAGGCGGGATGAAGAACTGCGGGATGCGATCCGGCGTGAGGACGTTAGGGCAGGCGCGCGCAGCTGGGTCAGGGGAGCGACGCTTAGAGAACAGGCTGGAGGGCGCCCACCGAGCCCTGGGCTCCGTAGCCCCCACCCTGCAGCCGGCTCTCTCCAAGAGCCACATGCGGCGGGTGGAAGTAATAGAACTCCGAATTCCGTGAGGCCGAGAGGCTCCAAATCCCACGTCTCAGGCGAGAGTGCTGGGACAGAAGAGGAGTCGGGGGAGGTGATGCTGCGAGGGTCTCTGGTCCCCCGGACCTACGAGGTTGGTGCTCAGCCCCCTGTTTGAGCAGAAAAAAGAAAAGGCAGCAAAGTGCGGGGGGGTGGGGCGGCTGGGGAGTCAGGGCCACACAATCGTGTTTTCAGATGCAGACACGAAGTACACAGACTCTCCCAGTGGTAGTAAAGACGACCCACGCACCCAAGAATTAGAGGATCCGACACGCCCACCAGAACCCTAGGGGAGTATTAGGACAAATAGAATAACCTACGGATTACCAGAAAGTCTGTAGTCACAAACACGAGCCCAGATCCCTAACCTCCCTGAAGGGAGCTGCGCCTGAGGGGGATTCTCTGCCTTCTCTCCCACCCATTCGGAAGATCTGGACTCTCCCCCAGGATCTGGTCTGCTGACCCTTGGGACTCCCTGCCCTTCCCCCGCTGCCTGTTTCCAGCCTATTTGAACTGAGCCATCCTGGTCCTAGCCCCCCCACGCCTCCTCTGGCTCCTCCCTCCTCTCCTCTAGGCGCTCTTGGCCAGAGGGGACTCACTTCTGTACCCGGTTGCTGACCTGAGGACCATCAGCGCCAGTCCAAGAAGACGCCCCTCTGGGGGCCACGGAATCTCTCCTTTGGTCCTACGGAGAGCTGGGCGTTCCACACCTCTGAGCCCTACTGCATCTCGTGTGCGCAGGTCTGGCCAGCCGGCTGGGACAGGCCTGTTGGGTCACTCCTACCTCTCTCCACTCTTTCTCTTCCTAGGAAACCGCTGAGCACAAAGGCACCATTGATTCTTGGCTCACCCCAGAGCTGCCTCCAGCTTGCTCTGCCGCCACGCACTCACTGCATACCTGCACTGAGCCACCCCAAGCTGGGAGCGTGGTCTTCTGCCCTGAGTCCCAGCTGGCCACTGCCACTGGGCTCCATCCTGTGCCCAGAGTGCAGGGCTCACCTGTGGGCCAACTCTGGATTCTGGCCTCAGGCTGACGCGTTCAGAGGCTGAGGGGAGCAGCTTCCTGAGCTTGTTCCCCAAGCCCAGTCCTTCTGGGAGGAGCTGGCAAGGGCCTTAGCTGCCTATGACCTACCTCTTTTCCTGTATAAACACAGCTCTGTCTTTGTGACCATCAGCCTGGCCTTCTTAACTTCTTCCTTCACTTGGAGCCAGATTTCTAGCAGCAAGCAGCTTTTGGGCCAGGCCTCCTCTGTTGGGCCTGGGCAGTTTAAGAGATATGGGGAGGGTTATAGAGAAGAGGGAGATTGCTGTTGCTGGGCAGTGGTCCACCCTAGCCTTTCTAGGTGAAACCGTAGCTGTGGTCACACATATCTCATTTTCTGCAAAGCTCTTCTTGCCAGAATCCTGCCTTAACATCTTCTGCCCCCTTCTAGAGGCATCCCAACAGCTCCCAGACAGAGCAATTTGCAGTGACCAGTTCTCAGAATTTTATTGGCGCAAGGAACTGTAGCCAGGCTTAAAATTTCTGGACATAGTGACACTGAGGACAGAGCAGGTTCTAACAGTGGACCGTATCAGGCTGGCCTATGCCCTCCCTCCTTGGCAGACCCTAGGACATGCAGGCTACCACAGAAAAGATGCATTCAGCTGGGCACTGTGGCTCATGCCTGTGATCCCAGCACTCTGGGAGGCTGAGGCAGGTGGATCGCCCGAGCTTATGGGTTTGAGACCAGCCTGAGCAAGAGTGAGATGCTGTCTCTAAAAATAGCTGGGTGTTGTGGTGGGTGCCTGTAGTCCCAGCTACTTGGGAGGCTGAGGCAAGAGAATCACTTGAGCCTAAGAGTTTGAGGTTGCTGTGAGCTATGATGCCACGGTATTCTACCCAGGGCAACAAAGCGAGACTCTGCTTCAGAAAAAAAAAAAGGAAAGAAAGAAAAGATGTGTTCCAAGAACAGTCCTCAGTCCTTGCAAGGCAGAAAGCTCATTAGAACCTTTGTGAAGGCAATTTGCTCTCTGAGAACCACTCTTCCCTTTCATTCTTCAGCTCTGGAGTCCTTCATTGACACCTTTCATTTAAATTAGGGTTGCCTGCTATGCACTTTCACAGCACCCCATACATTTCCTTTATGGCACTGATCACAGTTTTTCTAATTATATGACTATTTAATATCTGTTTCCCTTACTAGACTGTATGCATCATGAGGACAGTGCTTAGCACAGAGTGGGCAGTCAGTCAGGATCTGATGAGTGAATTAGTGATATTAAGCAGAATTATACTTGAATAAATTTGTTCACTTATTAAGTGCACAAAATGCTCTGCACACTGTGTTGGGTGCTGAGGATACACAGAATGGGGAGCTAAGGGGAGAGACAGGTAATACACATGCAAACAACAACAAATAGAAATGGTGAAATGCAGGAAACAAACAAGATGAAACAAACCAGTTAATGCTAGGTTACTGTGTCATCTGATAGTTGTGGATTTCAACAAAGCAAATGTTTCTTTTGTGAAGATCCCTGCCAACCTGCAGGCCTTCCATTTCTGTGATTCCAACTCAGTGAAGCCCTGGGGTTTCTGGGGAGGGTCTGGAATATCTGTTAGACAGGCTGGGGATCTGCACTCTGAGATTTATTAGTCTATGCCCTCCAGCAAATAACTTAATCTCTTTGGGGTTTACCCTTCAAATCTAGAAAATACAGACTATACCTAACTCTCAGAATTAGTATGAGAATTAAACAAGATTAACACATGGGCACCAGTTAGACTGGCATCTGTTAAAAGTATTAGAACACAGAAAACCTGAGTCAATTTGACTTAACAGTGAGATGCTTTTGACTTCCATAGAAGTCCAGTAGTAGGGTAGGACTCAGGGAAGTTTGATTTTGTGGCTTCATTCAGCCACAGTTACTGTATACCTCCTTTGTGCTAGGCACTGTTCTGGACTGTGAGGATAAAGCACTGAGAAAACAAATAAGTCCTCTGGCCAGATGTAATTTATTCTTTAGTGGAGGAGGAAAGGTGATAGACAAAAATAAATTAGTGGGCAGTGCCTGTGACTCAAAGGAGTAGGGTGCTAGCCCCTTATACCAGAGGTGGCGGGTTCAAACCCAGCCCTGCCCCCCCAAATAAAATAAATAAATAAATAAATAAATTAGTAACAAATACATGGCTCAGTGCCCATAGGGTGCTGGCCACATACACCGAGGCTGGCAAGTTCTAACCTGCCCGGGGCCGGCTAAACAACAATGACAACTGCAACAAAAAAACAGCTGGGCATTGTGGTGGGTGCCTGTAGTCTCAGCTACTTGGGAAGCTGAGGCAAGAGAATCGCTTAAGCCCAAGAGTTGGAGGTTGCTGTGAGCTGTGCTGCCATAGCACTCTACCGAGGGGGACAGAGAGACTCTGTCTCAAACCCCTCCCCCAAACAAAGAAACAAAAAAAAAACCAAATAGAGTTTCTTAGATGGAAATAGTGGAGACAGTTAAAGTAGGAAAATAGAAGAGAAGGTGTCAGGGAGTTTTAAATAGAGTGGTCAGGAATGGACACCCTGTAGGGGTAACATTTTCGTAATGATATCAGGGAAGGAGGAATAATATCTGGAGAAAAGCATTCTAGGCAGGAGGAATCACATGTACAAAAGGCCCTGAGATAAGAATTTGCCTGGAGTACTTGAGGACCAAAGAGGACAGTGTGGCTGGAACAGAGTGAACCGAGGAAGATGAGGTCAGACAGGTAACAGGCCCAGACTCTGATGGGACTTGCAAGCACTGTAACAATTTCAGCTTTCACTTGTAGTAAGCTAAGGGGTGATATAGCTTGACTTATGCATTGAAAGGGTCTCTCTGGTAGCTGTTGAGAATAGAATGAAAGGGGGCAGGGCAAAGGGAGAGAAGATAGGAGACTATTTTTAATCTTGGCATGAGATGACTGGGGCATAGATCAGAGTTGCAGTCGCAGCTTCTGAATATATCCTGAAAGTAAACAGGAGTTCCTAATGGTTTCCTCCCCATCCAATGAGAAGGGAGGGGCCAAGAAGGCCTTGGCAGTTGGAAGAAGGATGTTGCCATTTACCCAGAAGAGGAAATATTGGTGCTCAGCGATGGATCTGTCGGCTGTGAGATGCCTGTTAAATCCCCAAGCACAGAGCAGGCAGTTGGTTGTGTGAATCTGGTCCAGACTGGAGGTATAAACGTGGCACCAAAAGAAATGTAGATGGCATTTAAAGTCATCAGACTTGGAAGTGTAGATAGAACAGAGAAAGGATCCAAAAACTGAGTCCTGGGTGCAGTGACATTTAGAGAAGGAGGAAGCAGCTGTGTCAGATGCTAGGGAGAAATGAAGTAACACAGGACTGGGAATTGACCACTGGATCTGGCAGTGAGATGTTAGGGACCTGGATAAGAGCATTTTTGGTGGAATTGGGGGGAGCAAAAGCCTGATTGGAGTGAGCTCTAGAAAGAATGAGAGGAGAAAGAGAGAGAGCAAAAATGACTTACTTTTTTTTTTGAGACAGTTTCACTCTGTCACCCTGGGTAGAGTGCCGTGGCATCACATCTCACAGCAACCTCATATTTCTGGGCTCAAGTGATCCTCTTACCTCCGCCTTCCAAGTAGCTGGGACCACAGCTGTCCACTATAATGTTCACCTAATTTTTTTTTTTTTTTAGTAGAAATGAGGTTTCACTCTTGCAGGTCTCCACTCCCTGAACTCAAGTGATCCACTCTCCTTGGCCTTCCAAAGTGCTGGGATTATAGGCCACCATACTTGGCCAAAGACAACTCTCTTGAAGAGTTTGCTGAAAGAGTAGGGGAGAAGTAGCCAAAGGCAGAATAGAATCAAAAAAGAATTTCTTTTTTTGTTATTATTTTATTTTATTTTAAGACAGAGTCTCACTTTGTCACCCTTGGTAGAGTGCCGTGGCATCACAGCTCACAGCAACCTCTACCTCTTAGGCTTAGGTGATTCTCTTGCCTCAGCCTCCTGAGTAGCTGGGACTACAGGTGCCCACCACAATGCCCAGCTATTTTCTTTGTTGTTGTTGCAGTTTGGCCAGGGTTGGGTTTGAACCTGCCACCCTGGTATATGGGGCCAGCGCCCTACTCACTGAACCACAGGTGCTGCCCAGGAGAGAATTTCTAAATGAGAGAAACAATGGAATATTTGTATGCTGATAGGAAAGATCCAATATAAAAGGAAAACAAATTGATAACACAGAAGAGAGAAGGGAGAATTGTTGGGACAATGCTCCTGAGTAGATAAGAAGAAATGAATGTCCTGTGTGAGAACAGTGCTAGGGGTTGTCCTTTACCTTCTATGTGGACAGACTGACCATCGTTGCTGGAAAGAAGGTGGAATAAATGGGTAGAGGCTGGCAGGTGGAGAGATGCTATGGTGGGGCTTATTCTCTTCTGAATGTTTCTGATTTCTCTGTGAACAGGAAGGAAGGTCATCAGCTGAGTAATGATCAGGTAGAAGGTGGTGGTAGGAGTTTGGGAAGAGGGTATCAGGAATGGAACCTGGAAGAGCAGGAGAATGGATGGTCCAGGAAATTCAAGGAACCACTTGAGACTAGTGATCGTGACTTTCAAGTGAAACTGGACAGAATGGTTGTATGTTTATTCCCCAGTTGTGTTTAGCTGTGCAGTTTGCAGGGGAAAATGGGTAGAGATTTGGATCTAGCCAGGCTTGTGCTTACTCTTTGACAGCTCTCTTTCCTGCTCTCTTCTTCCATTTCCTTCTTTTTGTGAATATTAGTTTATGGTTGTTTGTAAGCTTGCATACCATCTGGGCTGTACGGAGTGGGGTTGAAAACTGACACAGATGTCCACAGCCTGTCTGCGTTAGTTAGGGTCTGTTCACGAAAGTGGCAGTTGCGGCTCGGCCCCTGTGGCTCAAGCGGCTAAGGCGCCAGCCACATACACCTAAGGTGGCGGGTTTGAATCCAGCCCAGACCCGCCAAACAACAATGATGGCTGCAACCAAAAAATAGCCAGGCGTTGTGGTGGGCGCCTGTTGTCCCAGCTACTTGGGAGGCGGAGGCAGGAGACTCGCTTGAGCCCAGGAGTTGGAGGTTGCTGTGAGCAGTGAAGCCACAGCACTCTACCCAGGGGGATAGCTTGAGGCTCTGTCTCAAAAAAAAAAAAAGAAAGTGGCAGTTGCTAGATGGATCAACAGAGGGAGTTTAACACAGGGAACTTGTTACAAAGGTGTTGAAAGAGTTTAAAGGCAAACAAGGTGGTGAGGGGCCATCCAGAGAGACCTGTTAACTATGGAGATGTCGTCCTCACTGAAATTGCCTCCCAAAGAAAGGAAAACAAAGGGCAGAAATACTTTTACTTTTCCCTTCTTCCCATCTTCCCATCTTCCACCAGAGCTTTCCAAAGCTAGATGACAAAGGAGACTGGAAAATATAGATTTGGGGCACTAGTCCTCTGCAATACAGGCAGAAAGCAGGAAGGATGAGGCTGGGGACCTGTGAGCAGTCAGACAAATGACTGGCAAATGAGTAGCCAAAGTGGGCTTGACTGCAGCAGTAAGATACCTGACCTGGAAGGAATTTGGATGTCACCTCACCTGCTTTCATTTTTGCAGAGCAAGGAACAGACCCAAAAAGAAATTATATGCCATAACAGTAGCAGAGTTGAGACTAAGACCTAGATCTTCTGTCTTGGAGAGTATTGTCCTTTCTTGTACGCTAAGGGCCTGTACCTGCAGGCAGAGCTGCCTCTCCAGTGACCCAGAGGGCTGCCCCCTCCCCTCCCGCAGCGCCACTGCTGCCACTCCTTGAGAACTTCTCAGATACTTCTCAGCCCAAAGGCTGTCTCTTGGTGGTGCCGTTTGGAAGGAAACTTGAGCTCTCTGTCTCTGCTCCATGCCACCAATGGTTTTGTGTCTCTGATGCCCCAGCCACAGATCCTGAACTCCCAGCGTAAGCCTGAAGATGGCAGGATAAGAGTTTAGACATCCCATCAACACTGTCTTCTTCCACTAGCCCACCTCTCAAACCGAGGCTGTGGTTATGCTACTCACCAGACCTATTTTCTCTTTCTTCTTCGTCATGAGGTTAGGTGACGCTCTCCAACCAGCCTCCCTGTGGTTTGGTGAGGCCTTATGACTGAGTTCTGGCCGATGGAACCACTTTGTGGCCTTGGTCCCAAAATAGCTCCTTTGTGAATTCTCTCTTCTCTCATCTGGTGCCTGGATGTGAACACCCAGGGTGACTTGGAAGTCTTTTGTTAGCCAAGTTCCTAAATGACTCCTAGACACCAACATCTGGACTTTATGTGAGTGAGAAATATATTTTTTTAAAGATGGGCTTTAAAGAACGGAGATTTAAAGGTTTATTTGCTTCAGTGTTTGGCTTTACTACACCTAATAATAAAATGCTTCGTGATGTGGCCCTTAACACTGTCATTCTTTGGCAAAACTTCCCTAGTCTTGACCTACCCCCTGAATGTCCCCCTCCTTGGTTAATGGAATTCTGGCAATCCCAAGATAAGACACCTCTCCTCTTACAGCCCTCCATGTGGAAGCTGCAAACAAGAAAATTCCTAGCAACAACAAAATCCAGTTTTTCATCCTTCTCCTTCCCAGGCCCAGAGGAGACACAGGCTTCTCCTAGGGAGCCGTCCACACCTTGTTCTTTTCCCTCTTGGCAAATGTGCCCCCAACTGTGTTGCTCTGTCCTCCTTTCCCACTCGTCTCACCTGACTTACCTGCCAGCATCCCTGGGTGTGCCAGCCGGCTCCCGCCCCTGCTTACCCCCGGCTGGTGCTGCTCCAGATGCCTGTTTTCTGCAGCAACTGGGCTTGCAGCATGCCTTGGTCACACGCGTATTTAGTCCATTTGTTTTTCTGATTTCCATAGCACAGTGGCTTTACCAAGTCACCCCTTTTCTTCAGACCCTTTCCCCCAGTGATGGCCTTGGACCCTATTTTGCTGAGAAAGCTGAGGATCCCTGGAGTGCATCCCCCACTTCCTGCCATGCTGTGCACCCCACCTCTTTCCCGTGACTCCTGACTTCACCCGTGCTCTTCTTCCAAGACCAGAGAGCTGGGCTGTTGGATGGCACCACTCTCTCTCTCCCCTAAAAGCTTCAGCTGCTCTCCACTAACAATTTATAAATACAGCCACATCTCTTTCTTTGAATAGCAACAATGACAAAATTCCTAGAAAGAGTTTTCTACATCCATCTCCTCATTCCCCATTCCTATTCTATTTCCGTCCACTGTAATCTGGATTTTTCTCCCACGAGGTAAAATTGCTGTGGCAAAGGACACCACAGCCTTCCTCAATGCCAAAGCGAAAGGCCTCTGTTCAGTTCTCGTCTTCTCTGCCTTCTCTTCAGTATTTGATGCTGCTGACCTGGTCCCCTTGAGGACAGTCACTCCAGTCCTATTCTCAACCTCCTTTGTGGGTCCTTGATCTTCTGTCCTAGCTCTAAGCCTTAGTGTGATCTAAGGTTCTGTCTTTGATCCCTCCCCTTACCTATCACTCTCTTTGCCTCTTCTTCATTTTCACTCTGTATGAGCCATTCCCAGGGGTTCTGTGTCAGATTTTATGTTGACTCACAAATTTAGTCAATACCTCTTCTCTATGGAGCTCTGAATCAGGACATCCAGGTTCCTGCGGGCACTTGCCATGTGGCGCAAGTTCCATGGATACTTCATGCTTGGCATATGTAAAGCTGAGTTCGTTCCCTGCCTCTGCCTCAAACCTGCTTGTTTTGTGTTTCTAGTGGTACCACTTGGAGCCTCCCCAGCCATCTGGAGGCTGGATGGCTCTCCTAGCTGGCCCATCATGCATCATTTGTGGCTAAGTCCTGCATTTGTTATCTGTTTTGACTTTAGGGCTCTGACCCCCACAGGCCCTGCTGTCTCCAGTAGAGCCCACAGGGGCCACAAACCAGTGTTCCTGCCTTCAGGTGGCTGCTCCCCCACCTCGCTCTTCTCCAAAAGCCCTAGGTTCTTCCACCCTCTGAGCCTTTGTTCTTACTTCTGCTTGAGCTGGAATATCCTCCCCTCCCTGCCTGCCTGCTGAGCTCCACTTCACTTGTGAGACTCCTGCAGGCAGAGCTTCTTCTGGAAAGCCTTTTCTGATGCTTTCAGAGTAGAATTGACCCTCCTCCCTTTGGGCCTGCCCTGCAGTCATGGTGGGAGCCAAGGTGGGGCTGAGAGGAGCTGGATGGAGACGCTGTGCTCTTGGCCTCTGGTCAAGTCCCCCAGGTGTGCATGTTGAGGCCAAGGGCCCTGTCTGTTGTTGTGGTGGCACCTGGTAGGTGCTCAGTGAATCTTGTCTGTGAGTGGAGTTTGATTTCCAACAGCAGAGAGGTTTGGGGCTGAGATGGGGCTGTGAGACTTTATTTGCCCAGAATCTAAGGCCCATTCCCTCACCCACCACTTCCTTTCTAGACCCCCCCCCCCCGCCTCCACACCAGTGGAGCCCTGGAGGGCAGCAGGCTCTCCTGAGCGTGTAGTGACTCTTATTGGGGTGACTCTTCTTCCAGCTTCAGCTGAAGGAAAACACCTGTAAGAGAAGAATGACCTGAGCAGCCACAGCTAGAACGGAGGTGGCAGGAGCTTGGTGGGTGCTCTGGGTGAGCTTTTGGCTCCATGTCACTCATTACCCGGGTCCTGTCTGTGCAGCACAGGTTGGGTAACTCATATGTAGGTAGAAATCCTAGCTGGCTTCTCTCATACTTCACTGATGTTTCCAGCCCCATCCCTAAAAAAGCTGAACCACAGCTTGGAATGGGATCCTCCCTCCTGTTTGTTCTGGGGGTGAGTGATGGCAAGACCTGTCCTGGGTCTGAGGCTGGGAACTTCTTTACCTGAACACTTGGCATAGACTGTCTGCTGGTCTCTGCTCTGGGTGGTGCAGGACATGTAAAGCTTCTGGTCCTCGATCTTTTCCACGTCAACGTTCAGGACAGCCAGAGAGCCCACAGGGATCAGGCTGGGAGAAGAGGCAGCTTAGCCCATCCCTCCTGTGAACCTTAGCCCCAATCCCCTCATGCTCTGTGCTCTGTCCTTCTCTTCATCCCACCCTGCCTCAAGGCTCAGAAGTGGCCCTAGGCTCAGGGTCTGCCTGTCAGCTCCCAATGTTAGGTAGCAGGGGTTGCATCCCAGAGGAACTGCTAGCAGGTGGGAGGAGTGTGGCAGGCAGGGCTCCACGCCCCAGTGCCAAGGATGGCCATCCCCAGTGATGAAAAGGGCCATGACTTTGGCCAACGCCCTGTGGAAATACACTTACTTTTTGAACCTGATATTGAGGCTTAGTGTGAACAGCCCTTCTCCAGCCAGGTAAGCAGTTTTAGAAAAGGTCTCATCCATCATGGCTGCCAGGGACCCGCCGTGGGCAAACCTGGGGTGGGGGCAGGGAGCGAGGCTGGGGCTGCGTTGCCGGGCGGACTGCCTCACTGGCCTTCCGTCCACCCTGTGGTGGAGTCCTGCCTCTCCCTGTCCCCAGACCCGGCTGCTGATCTTCAGCCTCAGGGCAGCCAAAGATGATAGGAAACAGAAAATCAACTGAGTTTCTCTCCTGTTTTGCTTTGGTGTGTGGAGCAGCCACTGGTATAGTTATCTTATTTCACTAGGAAGATTTTTTTTTCTCATACAGTTCATGGAAAACGTTTCTCTGATTTGTCACCTAATTTTTGGCAATAATTGCCATGATTTGGAAAGGTGCATGCATATGAGGAATCTGAATTTTTTGACTTCGACTCTGAAGCAGAGTGTCAGGCCACCTCTCTATGACCTTCCCAGTCACTGTGGCCAGTCCTGGGCCCACATGTCAAAGCAGGCAAATGTGAAGCATAACACATGCAGCAGGCCAAGAGCGACTCAGCAGGGTGCCACAGACATCTGCTTTGCTTAAAGCGCCCAAGGTTCTCATTCTCACTTGTGCAAGCTCCATACCAGGCACATCATTGTCAGTAGCATCGGGGTAAGTAGAAAGGCACTCACCTTTAGAATGCAAATAGCACAAAACAGATTTGAGTTTCTGATTTTCAAAAGTGTAATCTCAATTCTGCATGGACTCCAGTCAGCTGCCCACACGTACTACCAGGGGTTCCTCCCTTGCCTCCCCCTTCCTCGACTGTACAGAGTTGGAGGCTGTGCAACCACACCCACCTGTTTGGCCTCTTTGCCGACTGCTCATCACCTGTCTAATCTTGAGCAAGTTGCTAAACCTTTCTGAGCCTTGCTAAACCTTTCTGAGCCTTAGTTTTCCCACTAGGAATTAAGTATAAAAGTAAAAATATCTCATCAGATTAAATGAACAAATGCTTGCAAAACTTCATGCACACCCCCAGGGACTTCCCTCTCCACATCCCAGATTGCTTCAAAGAGGATAAAAGGAGCATATCAAAGAGCCCTGGACATGCTCTTCCCTCCTTGTCCTCACTGGACAGGCAGGCACACACTGACACTGTACAATTCCCCAGAGGGGCTCTGATCCAGCCACTTCCTTCCTCCTCCCCGCTTCCCATTGTGGGTAGGGACACACTGACACACAGAATCTGCAGAGGGGTTCTGAACTGGCCACTTCATTTCTCCTCCTGCTTCCCATTGTTCAGGGGCCTCTTCTCTAGACCCCCTGGGTCTGCCGACTGGCCTCAGTGTCACAGGCCTGGGACTGAGGTTGGGAACTTATGTCCTTTCTCTTGCTCACTCTGGCTAGTCACGCCAGCTCCCTAATTTCCCAAGATTGCCTCTTCAGCTTCACTTTCACAACCCCCTACATAAAAATCAGCCATACTTCAGCCTTACTCCTGCCTCTTTGGGATTTTCCTCTTTGGAAAGGAGGGGACCCAGGGCTATACCCCAGTTTCTGCATGCACAGTTTTAGGAGTGGTATCCCATGGAGGCACCTATGGCCAAGGTGATTGAGGGCTGTGCAGCCTGTGGACGTCTACTTAGCACTCCGGTTTCTGTTCAGCCCCAGCTGAGTCCCTGTCAGGACACAGGACCTTAAAGCTGCTCCTATACTCTCCTGCCCCTCTGTCCCTTGACAGAGCTGCTGCACCACCAGCAGCTTCCAGGAACCTGTCTGGAGCAGGAATGGGGACAGGAAAGAAGGCAGACAACCACAAACTTGGTCACCCAGTGACCACAGGCAAGAGGCCAAGGCCAGTCTGATTCCCTGAGCGTGAATTTACACCCAGCGTGAGCTTCTCCATGGGCCTATTCCATGCCTGGAGACAGCAGAGAATGGTGGAGAGAGCCAGACTTGGAACCCCACCTCTAGATTAGAGTCCTAAGTCTGACTGTGGTTGCCTGTGCTGTCTTGGGCAAGTCACTTTACCTCCATGTACCTCCATCTCCCCATGTGTGAAATGTGGGGTTTGGGTCAATGGCATTTGATAGCTGTCTTGAACTTGGTACATGAGCACTCACTGTAGGCCCGTGATATCATATCTCCCAAGTCCCCCTGGCAGGTAGATATTATTGCCCAGGTTTAAAGTAAGACTAAAGGCCAGAGGTCAAGTTGCTTGCTTGGGGTTCCAAGGCCAGCAGCAGCAGAACAAGTCTAGGCTTGGGCTCTGAATTCCGGATCTTGACCTCTTCTAAGTTTCCACATTCTTCTCAAGTGGACATTCTAGTCCTTTGCCTGGAAAGTTCTGAGACCTCAACAAGGAGGCTCTCCTTGTCTGTGAGGCCTCTCAGGCCAGCCTTACCTAAGGTAACCTGAGGGGGCAGGCCAGATGACTCAGGGGGTCCTTGCAGACCTGGCACTGTGAGCCTGAAGTCCAGTGCCCCACACCTCATCCCCGCTCCTCAGAGGCAGGTACAGACTGAACCTGCCCTGCTGAGCCATGCCCAGGAGGCAGCCAAGGTCCTGCCTGTGGCCTTACCCGGGGGCCCCCTCCAGGTAGGGGCCTGGCTGGAAAAGGCAGACAGACTTCTTCTCAGAAGGGTGGAAAAAGATGACGTACTCATAGCCTTGACCTTCCACTTGAATGCACCTGGTGAAGATGCGCCAGTCACCTTTGTCTGGGGAGAGAAGGCAGTGTTGCAGCTGGGTGTGGGGCACGGACCTGGCTGGGATGCAGCGCCATGTGCGAGCCTGCCTTGAGTACAAGGTCAAGGACAGAGAGCCAAAGACAGCAGGCTCTACCCTTGGGCAGCCTTCCGTCCAGGCAGCAGCACACCCAGTCCTCAGAGAGCCTTCTGTATGGGGTGGAGATAGGATCAAGTCCAGACTGAGACTTGAGGAGGCCACAGCATTGAAACCTAAAGATGCAGTTGCTCACGGAATCCACAAAAATAACAACACTCAACAGGAAAATAAGTGCAGAAAAGCCCACCAGAGTTCTGATTTCTTCCCAAGGCAAGTATCACAACATCCTGTTTGGGAAGTATCAAATTCTTTAAAAATATTATTTTGGTGTACTTGTATTGTTTGTGTCATAAACCCAAGGGCATCTTCCCCTGGTACTACCCATTCCCTGCTGGGCAGGAGGACCATGTGGATGAAAGAGAAGGACCAGAAGATGCAGACAGACACACGCACGCACACAAAGACTAAGGCAGAAGCTCACTCAGTCATTCCCATTGGTGTGTCAGGAGAGCTGCTCCAGGCTCAGTAAGGCAGGGGCGAAGTGCCAAGGCCTGCAGGGGTTGCAGGGGATCTTCACTGGGGCCTGAGGAGGGTAGCTGACAGAAGGAGGAACACCCAAGGAGAGGTTAGAAGGGTAGGGCTGAGCTGGCAGTTCTCAGCAGGACCATACTTGGCTGGGAGCAAAGGCAGGTCCAATGGGGTGTGTGTTCTTCCACAGGAGGGGGGCCCAGAGCAAAGGTGGGCCCACTAGGGTGTGTACTCTTCTACAGGAGGGGGGCCCAGAGACCTGAGCAGACCTGCCTGGAGTGGCAGCATGAGGGTGGAGCTGGGAGGGAGGGGGAACAGGCTGAGAACTGGAATGGAGTTTACGAATTTCTTCCAAGAGTCTGAGACATAGGTAAAGGGGCTGTGCATGCCCAGGAGCCCTCTCAGACCAGCCTTACCTGAGGTAACCGCCAGCCCAGATGGAAGCTTGAGCCCCTGGATGTGGTCTCTGTTGGACTTGAAGGAGGGCAGTTTGATCCAACCATCAGACCTGGTCTTCTCCAGAAATTCTTGGTAGAGGCTTAGCATATCTGGACACCAGCTGGCATTGGGAAGGGCATAATCTTTCAAGTCTGTCTTCTCTGGACAGAATCTTGAGACCTGGGCAGGAAAAATCAGTGTACTAGCCAGTGTTCTGAAGGACAAGGCTGCCACCGGGCTGAGGGCCCTCTAGGTGACCCGCTCTTAGGTTCTTGGGCTACTCAATTCCTTGTGCCAGAAAGTCAACCTGGAGCAAAGGGCCCATCTTCCTCGCAGAGAGTGCAAGGACCCCTCTGGGTGACTGAGCAAAGGAAGGGAGGGGAGGGAATGAGCACCTGCTTTGCAGCTGATAACTGCTAATATTGGTCCCATTGTACAGATGAAGAAACTGAAGAAATATGGCCAAGGTCACCAAGCTGTTAAGTGTGAGAGCCAGGGGTGGAACTAGGGAGTGAGGTCACAGCAGGTCAGGACCAGTTTTCCAACCCCTCGCCTCAGGGGTTAACCCAGCTCCACCCCAGCCAGGGGCTGCGCTGGCAGGCTAGCTCCTTTGAATCCTGTTTGGTCCCCCACAGAGGAGTGGTGCCATGGCAGGGGAGGAGGCAGTGTGTCCATCTGTGGGATAAAGGGGGGGTCCTCTGTAGCATCAGCTGCTCACGCACTGACCACAGCTGTGGGCAACAAGCAAGGAGCTCACTGAGACTGCAGACGGGCCTTCTGTGCAGGGATGCCCTGACTTAGCCTCAACAGGCTGCGTCCCAAAGGAAGAAAGTGATTTGTTTGTGCTATGCCAGGTTCAGACCAGATGCAAGTAAGTGTTCTGGTGGCTTTAGTTCTGAACCAGGGCTACTTGGTATCCCTGAGCACCTGCCCCTGGTCAAGTCAAATAGCTTCCCCAAAACACTGCCCACCACTCCAGCTCTTGAGCTGAGAAGAAGAGATTTGGGTGCTCTAGGCTCCCCAGAGTAAGGCTCCTTGTCTGGCTGAACTGGGAACTCACTCACCAGTGAGTCTGTGGAGGACCCGCATGCTGGGGCAGGGCTGAGTCTGGGCTGGAGAGAGGGGGCCCTAAGAAGGGCTCGGTGCTGGCCAAATCTTGCTGCCACCCGGAAGCCTGTCCTTATCATGGCTGAGTGCTAGGCTGTGTGGACAGGGAGCTGGCTGACTCCTGAGGAGCTGTCAGCTGCCCCTGGGGTGGAGCTGCAGTCACTTCCCACAAGCCTCTCCCCCTTCTGTCATAGGCTGTCTTTCAGCAGCCATTCTCCACTGCAGAGAGACTGGGTGAGGCTGGGCTGGTCGGTGCAGCACCCACAGATGATTTCAGGCTTTAGCTGTCCCAGAGTCCCTCCCAGACTTCTTGTGGGGTAAATGCTGCTTGGGCGTGAATGGGCAGCAGAACTGGCCTGAGTTGTCAGATCAGTGAAAATTGTGTAAGCAAATGGTGTGGGGTACTTAGAGTCTTGCAGAGCTGCCTTGGGGCTTCTGGGGAAGAACCCAAGAATATTTCTGGAAAGACAAGGGGACCCTACTCCTTGACTGGAGGGTGTTAGTGGAGTGCTTGTGGCATTCTCTGCAGTCAGATCTCAGAGGGGGACTCAGAAAATCAATTTACAGCCCTTAGACATCACCTTCTTACATCGCAGATGAGAGTTGGCTCAGGGAAGTCTCAGCCGCTGGTTCCTGGCTGCGACAAGACTTGGGAGTTGAGGAGGGCTTGAAGGGGGAGGACTGATCTCTGGGAGGAAGCAGCTTAGCAAGGAAGCACTCATGCTTTGGGAGCCTGAGGTCAGGGGAACAGAGAGAACAGTGGCCTCTGGCTGAGTGTGGGCAGTACCATGACTGGGTGGAGGCGAGGCAGGCCTGGAAGCCTGGGCCTGGGAGAGGCAGTGCCCTCCAGTGCCTGAGAGGGAGAGACTTTTAGAGGCATTATCTCTTCTATTGCAGCGGTTCTCAACCTATGGGTTGAGACCTACAGAAACTGTATTAAAGGGTTGCAGCATTAGGAAGGTTGAGAACGACTGTTCTATTGAATTAAAACTACCCATTTTCAATTAAAAGTCCCAGTTTTTAATTTATTAAAACAAAAGGCATGTTCTAAAGATCAGAACTGGGCAAATGTGAAATTATAATACAATAATGGTAATAATAGTGATTATTATATTTTGGCAGTTTCCAAAAGATTAAACTGATTTAATGTGGAAATTTAAAGGAGACCAGGTGCCGTGGCTCATGCCTATAATCCTAATGCTCTGATAGGTGGAGGCAAGAGAATCCCTTGAGCCTGAGCAGGAGTTGAGACCTGTTTCTACTAAACATAGAAAAATTAGTTGGGTGTTGCGGTGGACACCTATAGTCCTAGCTCCTTGGGAGGCTGAGGCAGGAAGATCACTTGAGCCCAGGAGTTTGAGGTCGCTGTGAACTAGGTTGAGGCCATAGTTCACATAGTTCACCACTTTAGTCTGGGCAGCAGGGTGAGATTGTCTCAAAAAAAAAAAAAAAAGAAAATTTAATGGGTTTACCTCATCCTCTGTATTTGGCTGCCCTAGAAGACCAGAATATAAATATATTTCATCTCAGGGGCTTGAAGGGACCAGTTTTTTCATTGATTCATCTGGGTCTAACCAAATGTAGTTGAATTAGTTGCCAACATTTATAAATAGGAAGTTTCCCATAAAGCAGAAAGTGAAGGATCTCCAGAAATGTGGGTCTATCTGCCAGAGATGATCTTCACTTATGGGCAACAATGGCTGCTGTGGCTTTCCCTGGGACTGGGCGCTCCTTTGCTTTCTGGCCAGCCTCTATCAGTGTGTGATCATTGACTTGGAAGGGAGGATTGTGGAGGTGACGGGGAGGAAACAAGTACCCAGGAGAGGGTAGAGGGACTGCAGAGGCGAAAGGGAGGGGGGTGGAAAGAAGGAGGCTTTGGGAGCTGATCCCAGCAAGGAGGCCCAGGAGGAGGAGAGCACTGTCCTTCCAAGAAGGGACGTGGGTGAACCTGGGGAAGAAACTGTGATTTCATTGCCCCAGAGCTATTGGGAGCTGGGTTATCATGCAGGCACAGGCAGGTGATAGTATATCCCAGTGGGATCTAACTCTTGTGTGGCCTGACACCCTCCCGCTTTAGTCATTGTACAATTTTTGGTTAAATCGACTTTCAAATATTTACATAATTATGATTACACACCATATGTTCCCAGCCTTTCTACACACCGCACTTACCTATCCTTTCTTGTATAACATTTATTTTCTTGAGTGGATCATTTCAAAGGTTCTGCTGGGTGATGTGTCCAAGGGAACATAGGGGAATGAAGGGAGCTGATGAGTGGTTGAGGTGATCAGCCCTCATCTCCCAGCTGGGAGGGAGGAAATAAATGAAAGGAGGCTTGGCCATGCCTGGTGACATCAAAGAGCTGACACAGAGACAGCTGAGGAGGAGTATCTTAGATCACTGATGGCAGAACCTTGGGCATGGCCTTGCATTGAAGTGGCTGGAGGAGAATCATCAAAGTCCATCAGGGTGGAGAGAGGTTAGGATTATTGGAAAAGTGCTCCTTTCCCCCTTTCCATCTCCTTTTCCCACAATTCTTGTGGATTCCGAGTCTTTTGGGTTCTTTCTGCAACAATAAGCCCATCTTGATTCAGGGAGGTGGGAGGGGCACTTGGCCAATACTTTGAATGGGTTTTGTTACAAAATGAGTGTTGTGCCCAGTGCTGCTCGCTGGGCATGAACTAAGCTCAGGGAAGATAAAGAAAACCCAGCTCAGAGAAAGCCTGTCCTTTAAGGCTCTGGAGAAACAATGAGACGAGAGCGGAACGGTGCGAAGGCTCAGCATAATGGAGAGCTCCTGCTGCGTTCCGGTTTAGCTTGTTGCCTGCCCTGTTAGTTCATTTCCAGCTTGGCACCCATGGGTGAGTGTTGAGTTTTGGGGGGCTTCTCTTGCTGAGATACAACCTGTGCCCAGAAGCACATCCTGGGCTGGATCTGACTAGTGGTCCGTGGAAGGAGCAGTGGTGTGCCGGCTGGGGTTGGACAATCTGCTCTGGGCTAGGGGCAGGGTTAGGGGCACTGATTTGTAGCATTTTGCCAATTTCTGCAATGCAAATATTCCCACCATAGCTGATTTCAAGATACCAGTGTGAAGTCGCTGACCCTCAGTGTGAAGTGGGGGGAGATGCACAGCTGGCTCCATGCACTGTAGGCTGCGGCTCCAGCATGCCATGGCCCTAGTAACTTCTCTGGCTTGGAGTGAAACTGCAGGCATTATCAAGGCCCTGGTAGATTTAGCAGACAGATGGTTGTTGCTCTCAGGTCTAACCTCTCTATCTTTTGGAGTTTCCTTCCCTTGTAAGACTGATTGTGCAGTGCTAACTTTCCCCAGCCTATCCTTTTTGCTGGCCCCTGAACACATTAATAGGACCTTGTTTGTTTAAAGATGTGTCTTAACTAAGGTGACCAGATTTTAAAATTGGTAAAGCAGGACACCATTGATGGGGGTGGTGGTGGTGGTGGTGGTGGTGGTGGTGTTCTTAATTAAAAATTTGGTCTATGTAGAGCAACAAAATTTTTCATAGAACACAAAAATAGTATTGTAATATTTTTTTAAATTTCAACATAAGTACAATTTACAAATATAATACATTAAAAAATTATGTTATTTTTTGGCATATTTCTCATTTGAGTGAATTTTTTTAGTAGATTGCTGTTGTTGTTTAAAAGGTCATGAAATTTTTCACAAGAATTTGTTAAATTATATTTCACACATAAAATGGCTTTCAAAGTCTCAACACTTAATTGTGATTTTTCTGATGTCCACACTTTATTTACCATAGAAAAAAACGCGTTCAGTTGCAGCATTAGTTCCTGGTAAGGACAGCGTGTATCCCACAATTTTTAGTGCATTATTGTATGGAACATGGTTTGTTTCAAAATGATGAAATATTTCTAACCATTTGTTCTCTATTGTGATTTTTGCTGATGCCCAAGATTTAACCTTTTCCTTATCAATATATATTTTTAATAATGATAACTCGTAAGTCATAAGTGTCACTTTCAAGGCCGGTGCTACACTTTTTGCTGCCACTATAAAATACAAATAATACAAGTACTGTCTGCTAAATTCATGAAATAAATAAATAAATAACTTACCTAAATTATCTGAATAGCTGACTTGTTGACATCACTTGTTTAACTAGCACTAGCACACAGTACGATGTGTATCGTCTGAGAGATAATTACAAAATGTTTTTGTGGTTGCCAAGGCCAAAAAATGCCATTGTTCATTAAGTCCAAACAATGGTGGTCAGATTCTAACAACTGATCAACAATGTGAACTTTGATAAGCAGTTCTTGATAATCAGTTCTCAACAATTATTTGTTATTATTAAAGTTTAACATTATAAAATTAACAAAAATAATATAAAACTCATATCCTGGTGAAATAGCCACACGGCAGCTGAAAACCATATATTCCCTTCCAGTTCTCCCGTGTTCCCTAGCTTGTTGTGCAGTCTTTCCAAAAATCAGGACTTTTTAAAAACACTGTGGGACACAGGACAAATCGTTAAAAATTGGGACTGTCCTGCCAAAAACGGGACTTCTGGTCACCTTAGTCTTAACTACTAAGAAGATTATTAATATCTCCAGAAATCTTACAAAGTCCTCCCCATCTTGGGTGGCCCTGGAAACCCTTCTCAGACCATTCAGGACCACATAGGCCAACTCCCTGCACTTTGGAGTGGTTCTGTCTGAGCTGATTCCTACCTGGCCTTTCTGCAGTTTTTTTTTTTTTGGCCGGGGCTGGGTTTGAATCCGCCACCTCCGGCATATGGGGCTGGTGCCCTACTCCTTTGAGCCACAGGCGCTGCCCTACCTGGCCTTTCTGAATAAGGAAGGAACTTCCCCCGACAGCATCTCTGTACACAGATCTCTCCTGAACACTCAGCCCTGTAGGCTCACCACAGGCAATTTCTGGAGGGCACCCAGACTACCCATTTCTCTGTCCATCCATGGCTGACCCCCAGACTCCTTCGTATGCTGGCCCTGCCCTCAGGAAAGCTGAGTTTCTTGCTCTCTTTCTAGTTAAGGTCCAGAGGCCAGAAGGGCAGGAGCAGCAGCTGAGTATGACGCGGTGGCACGCACACCCGAGAGAGCTCGAAGGGGCAGCCCTGACTCTGCTCCACACCACTGGACCCAGG